TTTCTTATTCTAAAGCCTATGGAATCAATACAGAGAAGAATTGCAAATATAGTGGAAACACTGCTCTGTCCCACTATCATTATTCTGATGTTAGTAAAAACAGTTTTTTTCAGAAAAATAATGAGATATATAAGTTTCAGAAGCCTATTACATAAAGCAGGCAAATCACAATTATAGTAATGTCAAATGGCCGGTGCTGGAGGCACTCTATAAGGCTGAGGCATGGTGCTCTCGCTTTGTGCTGTCAGGCCAATCACATGGAGGTAAGTGAGGAGGAGTGTGAACAGCTTCCCCCTATGGATCTGGCAACATGGGAGGCTTGATTCACTTTAGGGGAAGAAAGTGAAATATAAATAAAGCAATTGAGGCCCCTTCCACACAGCGGTATAAAATCCGTATTGAACTGGATTATACAGCAATGTGGACTCAGATGACTCAGTTCTCAACCTGACTACTTCTCAATCTGGTTGCACTTTATTTCAGTCCTTCTTTCCTTTTATTATTTCTGCATTTTCAGTTCACAGCTGGTTAAATCTGCTGATCCTGAGCCCAAGGATCCCAAGGGCCCATTATATAATTTAACTATTTCTCTTTCTAATCTCCCCTTTTTTGCTCAAGGACTGCAACCTTTTATGTTCTGTAACTGTTTCTTGGGTACTGCCATTTCTAATGTCAGATATATATCCATTTATCCTCATGAATAGAAACTGTTCTGTTTGTCCAATGTAGAGTGTATGATAGCATTACTGGCATATGGTGACATATATCAGATTGTACATGTACCTCTAATATTGTGAGTGATGCTATTGGCTCCTGTAGTATTACTCTTAGAGTTGGCATGATATATTATGGCCAAAGTATGGCACTCTTGGTTTAGTCATCTTTGCTTCTAGAGAAACTTCAGATTTGATTTGCTCTATGACCCATTTATTTGATTTTTAAGCAGCCCACCATATCTGTAGAACTCTTCTCCAGCACCACATTTCAAATGAGTTGATTTTCTTATCAGCTTTCTTTACTGTCCTCTCACTGTGATGTGGCTAGTTAATCCTGCTTTACAGACAGTATAATCAGCATACATATAAGGTATTTGTGCCTTCCCAAGGGACCCAATTGAAAACCAGTTTATCCATATACTGCCCTGACATTCTCCTCTTGTCTTGCATAGAGATTCTACATCAGGACAATAGAACATAATAGTGCACCAATTTCTTTCAACATGATGCGTGTTTTATGGGGTACACAACCAAAACCTCTGCTATAATCTATAAATCACAGGCTGGGTTTCTTTTTAAATTCTTTGGTGCACTTCATTATCCAGAGTATGTTTGCAGTATGATCCTTTGTGCCTCTTCCTGGCATGAACCCAGCTTGGAATCTGGCATTTCTCACTCCATATATGGAAAAGGTCTTTGTTGTAGAACATTAAGCATTATCACTTTGCTTTCATCAGAAACTTGTGTGCATGGGAAAGTGAAATTTGCATTAGTGCAATATTAGAAATTTGAGAACTGAAGGAATATTGCACTGGAGGTCAGAATTTTTATTTGGGAGAGGCAAAGACTTTATCTTCCCCACTTCCCAGTGATGGCTCCTATGGAATCCCCTCTAGATTTTATTCCAATTTTTAAATGTGTTGTCCAAGACATGAAACCCATCTCAGACATAGGAATTAACACTTTTAATAGCCCCTTTGAAGCTGAATTAAAACTAGAAAATTAAAATTAGAAAATTGACATGGAAGCTACCAGCCACCACTTTCTGTAGTTCTAGCTATCTGGCTAATCATCTTACAGAATACCTCCTTCCATCCTAAATACCCTCTCAGTCTCAATAGTTATGTACTATTCCATGCTTTTTAATTCAGTTAGACCTCACTGGGAAGATTTTTCTCTTTGAAATGTTTTCCTGTTTTGTTTTTTGTTTTTTTGGGGGGTTTTTTGCAACTTTTGAGGTAACACCAAGCTTGTTGATTCCTACCTCTTGTGTGTGGGTGGTACTAGAAAGAGAAGGAGCTCAGTATGCAGGGCTCTTCTGTGATGATTTGATACTTTCAAAAAAAAGGTTAAATGCTTGCCATGTCTTCATTTCAACCTGAAAAGGGGTCTTTCAAAACACATCCATTAGATGGTGCTCCAGCTGTACATTCTGACCATTCTGGGCCATCCTTGAGAATCCACAGAGATTTATTGTGGATGAAATGCCTATTAAAATTTCAATAGTACAATAGTAATCTAATTGATAAGCCAACATATAAAATATGTTCTTCCGCTACAAAAAAATGAGTGCAAGTGGTAAACCAATTCAAAATATTTTCTTCCACATTATTTACTCAGATTACATTATTTTCCTGTCATATGAAATAGGCAAGTTGTTATGAAAGAGAAAAGAAAAGCAGGGGGAGAAGCAAGCTTTCAGTACCCATGGTAACAGAACCAGCAACAACATCAAAAGACTTTACCAACTAACTGACATTTTGTTTTTAAAGAATTGTGAGAATTATTTCATGACAAGAATATAGACACAGAGACAGCATATCTAGAACAAAATATTAGAAAATGCAGTATCTGACAAGTAATGTGATATAGAAAAACATACATGGCATACTGTCCATTGCATAAAAATAAAAATGATTTATCATTCAGAATGGGTATGAAGATAAAGATATATATAGAAAGAGAGAGAGAGGGGAGAGAGAGGGAGGGAGGGAGATGCATACAGTAAGTAAGTAGAGACACCATATTAATCCCACTCTGGTGTGTGCTTTGAATCCCAGTTCTAATTGCAAATGCAATTTGAAATGCTGAATGTAATCCAGAAAATAACACCACACTTTGAAATTTGGCTCCTAGAGAGATGATCTCTCTCCTCCTGTGTGCCAATGAGGATCATAACCAGCTGCAGCATTCTTTCTGAACAGATGCAAAATGCCAGCTTTCATCTGTCCTGACTGGAATGAATCATGCAGTTCTCAAGATGCTGCTGGACTGCAAGTCTCATAAACCCTAGCCTGTGTTGCTCCTAATGAGGAATCCTGGGAGTTGGCATCTAACAATATCTAGAGCAATGGTTCTCAACCTGTGGGTCTTCAGATGTTTTGACCTCCAGCTCCTAGAAATCCTAACAGCTGGTAAACTGGCTGGGATTTCTGGGAGTTGTAGGCCAAAACACCTGGGGACACACAAGATGAGAACCACTGGTCTAGAGGAATATATGATTCCCACCCTGATGTAGAAAGTGGCCAGGAAGAAGAAGGATATTGAGAAAGCTAGCACAGAGGGAAAGCATGAATCTGAAGGCACAGATAACTGATGTAACCATTTTGGAGCTATTTAGAACTTAACTTTGTTCCTGTACACATAAGTTCTTAGTAGTTAGTAATTTGGTTTCCTATAGAAAGCAATGGAGTAAAGTGTAGAGTGGGGAAATGTGTTAAATTACAGCAAAACACTGCTCTCAAACATGGTTGGCTTATCTATTTTAGTTGTATCCCAAATTCATCCAAATAGACTTTGTTGGACAAAGAAAACCCAAGAAAAGCAAGCAAGAGCAAAGTATTTCAAGTTGCAGTAGATAGAAACTTACATCCACCTTCCTCGGAAATACATTGCAAATTTCAGTCTATCTGGGCTAATATGCATCTTGTAGTGTACAATGTGGATTAAGAAAGATTTTTAAAGAAAGCATCCCAGGCAACATTTAAGGATGTTACAGAGATTATGAAATGGAAGTGGAACTCTTTATGTCATCTTTGATTGCTTTGGTTGTGCATTCCTGCATTGCAGGGAATTGAACTGGATGGCTAATGTCTCTTCCAACTCCATAATCCTATGATTCTACTACTCTGTGATCTAAGACCTTAAACCATGGTAGCAGCTGACACTTAAATTGGTAGGGTGGCCAATCTGTTTCAGGTTTAAGTCTGGAGTTGAAAGGCACTCTCCAAGGTGCTGAACCTTATTCCTAAAAGCTTTGCTTTCTTTGTATACAATTTAACAGTTTCAGTACATTAAATACTTTTTAAATTCCACTATAAACTTCAGGGAGCTTCTTTTTACTCTGAAAATTTCAAGAAAAACATATTTTTAAAATGATTGCTTCAAATGTAGTTACCTGATTATTTTACTCTGAGAGATGGAAATATTATAACTAACACAGAAGGGAAAGTATTGCATTAAGAAATCCCCAAACCATTGAGAAACTTGTTGCTATGCAACGTATAGGTCTGTTTGATTCTCAACCAAATGTGACACATTGTATACAATAAAATAAGCACAAATATCTCAAAATAATACAAACGATCATTTAATTCAATCAGTAATCAAACATTACTTAATTCTGGAAGAAAAAAGACATTTACCTACCACAACAATAACCATTACATTAGTATTGCTTCAGCAAAATTGCAACATCAAATAATGACCACAATACCATAACAAATAAGTCAGCAAAGCGGAACTATTTTAATCATAATTACATTATTTCAAATCCAACAATTTGAAAGGAAAGACATTTACATATCCAGAGGTGAACACTTCTTGACAAGTGTTAATGAGAAATACATTTGTGTGTGGTTGGCATTAAGTATGCTTAGTTTGACATTCCAGGGAAATAGGTTTAGATAGATGTAACTTCAGTTAAAGGGCAGTTTTCTTATAGAGCACTGGAAAACCTCTTCATGAATTCTCTCCCCGAGGCCCTATAAAACACAGACTTTGGGGTTTCCTGACCCTCTTAATCCCTCTAGAGGCCTCTGTGGCAGGGAGCAGGGTAACAAAAGCTTCAAGGGGTAGGAGGGGAAATGAAAGATCCACTATGGAGGCTGCTTTTTGCAAATACAATACACAACAAAACCCAGTGACTTTGTTAAGGTTTGCTGGACACCATTGTACCAAAAACATTCACAAATACACAGCAGTACAGGCCACAAAAGAATAACTAAGGTGTTGTTTATAAAATGAAATTCCAGATTACTTTTAGACAGGTTTACATTTACTTACTTTCCCGTAGCTCAACATGATGATTCTCACCAACACAACATTAATATGGGCACCTAAGGACTCATCGTGATAGATTTCATTAACCTACAAGAAAACATTTAAAATATATATTAAGTAGGAATACATGTAGAGAACACGAGAATAGTTTTGTTAAAGCTTAATAGCAAAAATTTGACAAATTAATTTTCAAAACCCCTCTGAAACAACAGTATACTCATGTAGTGACTGCAAAATGTATGCCTACTCTAGGAACTTTCACAGAATTATCTACCACAGAATCATCTACAAGATAGCAGGAAATCCTCAAGAGAGACATCAGGAAGCCATCTGATCGATTAGCTTCCTGGGGTAGGTCAACTTAATTAGTCTACCATCCCTAAAGAGTTTTTGAATCACAGAAAATCTAAATCCCATTAGGTAGTGATCTAACCATGGCAATGCAATGCAGGGGTGGGACCAAGATGGAACATAAATATAATAATGCGTGTGAATCCGAATTGCCTAAATCTCTGCAGAACTCTTGGGCTTTGAATGCTTTTGAGAATGCTGATGAACCAGAGGGATTAAAATACAGTTTTATCAGCACACAAAGATAGAATAAAGTTTTTTAAATGCAGGTAGCAATGGTCATTTATATATGACAAAGTAAAAAAAAAAAGCACATAATGATTTCCAGAGATGGAGGTAGTATTTGTATCTGCTACAGTAAAAACACCAATACAATCTGGTGGGACCTTAATAATGAATATATTTGTTAAGGCATAAGCTTTTGTGGAGGAGAACCTACTTCACTGGATGTGTGAAGAGATATCCTCAGCTGCAGCCACTTTGAGTGTGGTGTTTGCAGTAGGGAGAAGAGTGAAATCAGTGAAGTCAAAGGAGAATTAAATGGAAAAAAATATCCAAGGAGCTTGAATAGGCATTAGACAAGTAAACTGTATCAAGTCACTATAACAAGGCTAAGTTGAAAACACTGGATAGACTCTTTGGACTAGCCTTCAAGCACCTGGAATAGTATGTCCCTGATCTCTCTGTTCAAACAGTGGCCAAGACCATGTGAATGTAAGTCCTTTTAGAAATTCAGTTATTGAGCCAGTTAGCTGTTTAGCAGAGAAGGAGTGGGCAGAGAAGGACAAAGGCTTTCCAGATAGCTTATAAATGTGACCATGACATTATGCAGATGTTGAATTAGGAAGAATAAACCACTGTTCTTTTTCCCGCTAGCAGAAGTTGTTTCAACATACAGACCGCCCCTGGATATTGTGCCTATGAGCAGACCTGTAGCCAGAAAAAAAATCATTGTGGTGAGGGGGGGGGGGGGATTTATTCAAGGAATCATGAAGAGTAGGTCCATAACACAATAATTTCTCCTATCCAGCTACTAAGTAGACCTGGCCCTGCCTAACTTCTAAGATCAATCAGGATCTCATGCCTTCAGGATACTTAGGCCCTTTGACATCATTGCTCTTGCAGAGGGAACTACCAGGGGCAGATGAAAGTGGAGGTAAGGCAAAAGCAAGGAAGCTGGTTTAGAGTAGAAGTGAACAGGATGAAAGAAAAGGTTAATAGTCAGCAGTGTGTGTGGAAGAGAGGGTGGAGCAGAGAAACAGAGCTTGCAAAGGCAGGGCTCCAAGCAAGTTGGAAGGGAGACATAAGCAAATACCTGAGGGACAGGGAGAATGTGGTGAGAACAAGACTGTTGTTAACAGAGGAAAGGACTGGGTGGGAGGGACATAGAACTTGCAGCCCTGTGATTTGTCTTGGAAAAAGAGATAATTAAGGAACTTCCTAAGTAACAAATTCCTCCCACAAATCTTATAAACCAAGTGATTGATTACACTGGCACCATCTAGTGTTTCAATATACTGTTGTATTCTATATTACAAGAACTGAAGAAGGAGGTGTTGTCTGCCTGCTCTTGTGATGTGAATAGTGTCAGGCGAAGCATGTTTTCCCAGTAAAGTTTCCAGTATCTGGAGTCTGTGCCTTTGTAAAATATGCAAGCTGGGGTTTTCAATGGTTAAATCCCGAGGGAAAATGACCAAATTGCAACATGCCAATTTAAATATATTGGACAACTTGAATTTAGATGTAGCATTTCTATGGCATTGAGTAAAATCATTTTATTCCTAAAGGACATTTGCTTTCCTTTTCCTAGCCAATCATGTACAACCAATATAGAAAAGTCCTGGATGGGTTGAAGCTATTGCAGCCCTTTTCATCTGACCTTATTTTGCCTTTTCCCACCTTTAGGTTACATCTGATGCAGAAGTAATTCTAGGCATGGGAGGTATAGATCAACTTCTCAATCAAAGGGTTATATGGCAGACCAGTGGCCAGAAAAAAATTCAGGGTGTGGGGTAGGGGGTGTTGAAACAATTTTAATTTTTTTAGCAAATCATGAAGAGTAGGTACATAACACAAAATAATTTAAAATTTATGACCCATTCTATATTTATATATAGACTTAATTAAATCAGATTTCTATTTTAGCAATGAAGTTTCAAGTCTAAAAAGAACTTGAAAATGACTCTAAATTGGTAATTTAGTGATTGCAAAAGAATCCCACAATACCTGTTGGAAACACTTGAAAACTGTATCAATACACTTTAACAGAAATCATGCTACATTGATAAACTCTGGTGGACACTCAAGAGTACAAGAGTGGTCAATCTTTCTTGCCCCATTGTGCTTCTTATGTATGTTTTCAAACATTTAAGAGTTGAAAACAACCTTTCATTTGTAGCTTTTGACACTGGCAATGTTGCAGAAATTTGAGAAAGTTTATTCACATTCAGAAAAAAAACTGTCTCACAGACAAGATATGTTTGTGCATTTGATGATTTCAGTTTTGTACACCGCTGGTCAAACCCTTCCATCAGTATCTTGAAGGCATTCATTGTGAAGTTATGTGCACTTATTTAAATTGGTTTTTAAGTGGCCACAATTTACAGGGAGGAACACTTGCAGTTCCTAAACATCTTCCCTGTGCCTTGTAACCCTTTCTTGAAGCTGACTGCAGAAAAAGTCAGAAATGGGATGTACACATTTCGCCTATACAATTCCATTGTGTTGGTAAATTGCTTGCATGTTGCTTTTACAAGCCTACCTTGAGCAGATGCTAAATTCTCCACCCACAGACTCCACTACTGATTTTGTGGTGCCAAAGATCTCCTGAAATTCTTTCAGAGATTCTGTGTGCATTCCACTGGATGTTAACATGTTTTAGACTACAGAAATTGTCCAGCTCTACTCTTTGAAATAGTTTGTTAAGCTGAAGGGATGGTGACAGAAGCTTTCTAAGAATGTGCATGGTTACTATAAATTCAGCATTCAGAACAGCTAAAAGAAGGTGTCCGGCTTGGGAAAGAGTATCACTGTTGTATAGAAGACTCTCTTTTAGTTCTTCAACCACACTGTACAGGTCAACAGTTCAACAAAACATAAAAATGGGTTTCACAAAGCGGCAACAGGTTGCTTGCTCTTGATTCAGGGAAACAGTCTTTTATATCTTTCTTCAACAATTCCAGTCTGTTGAATGATGCTCTGAAGAAATTGCACACAGGTGATATTGTTACTTGGCAGTTTCTGACAGGTGGAATGCTGCAAGTGTTTGCTAAGCCTAGATTTAGTGAGTGAGCACTGCAGTGGATGTAGGCAACCATTGGATACTTCTGTGATATAAATGCCCATGCACCACAAATATGACCACTCATATTAACAGCTCCATCATAACCCCGTCTACACAAGTATTTCAAGTTCAGTCCAATTTTTTTCAGAGTTTTCAGAAGAATTCCTGCAAGTCCTTCAACTGTCATATCACTAAACTTCACAAGGCCTATAAAGTCTTCTCTTATTCATGCAGCTTCAACTTCAGCATACCTTACTGAGAGCAATAAATGTTCTGAGGTACTCACATTCAAAGTTTCATCTGCCAAAAAAGAGAAACACTGTCATGAATTGCATCTTTCGACATTTTTTTTACCATCTTGTCACCACAAATGTCTATTAATTCATTCTGTATTTGAGGACTATTTATATTGGGTATTCATAGCTGCAGTTTGGAGATTACTTTTCAGGTCAGTGTCTCCTGATCTGACACAAGGTCTTGAAATTGCCATCATTGTGCAAAGGTTCTTCACGAGTAACAGGTCCTGAATCATTGCCCCCTTTAAAGCCAGCTCTTGTCAGTCACAAAGGATAGTAGTTTCCACAATTAGCAGAAGTTTCTTTCTGTTTTCTTCTGTTTTCTTATTTCCTTTATCATGATGATGGGTTGCATCAAGACATTTTCCACTATGAGTTAGGAAGATGATACTCTGTTTTTCGGTGTCCTTTGAAGACATGTATTGCATCTTTCCATCACACAAATGGTTTAGCAGCCAATGCACCAAGCTTCTGATGACCACCTTTACCCCCAACTTCTCCTCCAAACCACACAGTACTTTTTTTGCCATAAACTCAAACATTTTCAGTTGCTTTGATAAACATTTAGGCATCTTCTGGAATCAGGTGGATGAAAGGAAATACTAATAGCAACTGACAGGGCTTTAAATCTCAGAATAGCAACTCAAGCTAGCAGACAATTGCACAATTGTGTTTGGAATGACTACAGCTGCTTTCATGCCTTCCTTTCATACCCTACTGGGAGGAGCCAGAAGGCGGGTGTAAGAGAGAGATCTGAAATGGGGAAGTGCAAGAGAGCAGTGACATGACTACTTTCAGATATTTCTAAATAATATTTCAAAAGCAATAGAAGATAATTACATATGGCAAAAACAAATGAAACTACACAATAAAATCCACAATTGTGTTCAAATTTCACAAAAAATGTTGATTAGAATCAGGGATGCAGCATATTGAAAGATCTCTCATACATATATTTTCACTTTAAATTGGAATATCTAAAAATCAAGATCTATAACCAACACATATTTTTTATTTTTTATTAAATATCTTTAATCTGATACATAGTTATTAAAAACTATTTGATAGTTTAGGAAAAATTAATATATAAACTTTTAAAGCAAGCACAAATTATCATAGTTGTTATGTACCTAGGAACAACATAAATTATATTTAAA